ACCAAGGGAGAGGTGAGCTCTGTGGGCTCTTCACATGGTGAGAGGAAACACACAAAACTGACCATGGCTTAGACATGCAGTCTTCTCCAGGCTATGGTGCTAAACAGCAAAACCATTGCTGCAACAGCCTCCTCTCTTCTGCTTCCCCTTTTCGGAGCACAGTGATCCAGCAAGCATTTGTCTGGTCCTTTGCTCCATCTGCTGCTCAAGTGCTAGATACGGAAAAGCCACAGCCCCTGGGCTGGAACAAGGATGCTGCTTGGGGCCTGCTGCTGCTGGGACTCTTGCTGGCATCACCAGCCCGAGGCAAAGGAAAGGTGTCTCTGTCCCACCCTCGTGGAGCATGGGCCTGATACATCTGCAGATCTCAACACAATCACAGTCAGCTTCAAACAAGCACCTAAAAACTCCCCTCTAAAATAACAGACTAAAATAACAGAGCTTTCATGTGAAACTGTGCATAAGTGGATACCAAACAGTAAGTCGCAATAAATAACAGCAAGAGGAGAAAAACAGGGATTCAACTCAAGATGCAGGTTTATGAAGTCTGGAGGTAGAAGATCCAGCAGCTGTGCAGCAATAAGCAGTTTACTTTAAAGAGAGGAACTAATTTTCATCCATTGTGTAGCAGTTTTCCTCAATGTTCCCCATGCCATTTGTGCTCACAGGCTGCAGTTTCACTCTGCTCCATGACCAACACACCGGCATTACATCAGCTTGTGACAAATTCAGGCTTGTAATGGTGCCCCACCACTAAGGACCCACAAACATAAGGACCAGGCAGCACCCAGCTTCAGCAGCAGAGGATGCCCAGCAAGGCTCCTTAAGGGGAAATTAGCAAGGAGTGCCAGGGAAGGATCTGCAGATCTTGTCATCATTAGTAATGTCAGACCCATTTCTATCTTGTCTTTTCATGTTAAAGTTTCAGAAGAACATGGAAGGGCTGCGCTTGACAGGTCCTCAGGTACCTTTGATAATCTGATCAAACCTAGCACCTACTTGCCACTCTCTGAAATAAATGATCTCTGCAGCTCACGTATACATCACACATTAGCATATGTAGCTGTTTGATATCTACTTGATATGCATCATTCTGTGCAGCTAACCCCCTACCTATTCCTCAGGCACTATTGGTCCCAAGACTTCAAATATAGCCAAGTCATCTCCCATCTTGCTTATATTACAAAACAAATTAGAGATCCTGAAGTGAAGTGTGTTAATCTTATAATTACCATGGTAATAATGAGGCAGTTTAATGATCTTGCTAATTCTCTGTTCAGCGAGACAGGATTTGGAAAATGCTCATACCCCATCTGCCCTTTTAATTCTGCTGAAATCAGAGATCCCCTTTAAGGGAGAGCTGTGACTGCGCATCATCACCCCGTCTCCATTCTCATGTTTAAGACTTGCTGCAGGTCTACCCAGAGGCCAAGTGTTACATCACAGCCAGCGCCTATGCTGCTCCAGTCAGCAGCTATTTAGCTGTATGTTAATTCAGACAAGATTGCCAGAGGAAGTAAAAACTGAAATAAAACATCTACACAGGAATACAGCTCTTCATATCGACTGTCTGCATTAAAAGACTTAAAATTGTCAGCTGCAATGAGCTGCCCAAAAGCTGCATTTGCCTCACTGGCTCATCCTCACCCTCCCAGTACTAAGTTACAAGCAAGTGCAGCTGTAACAGGTAACATTTACCAAGCACTCCAACAGGGAATTCTGTTTAGAAGCTGACACCTGCTCTCCTCCAGCAACTGATGGCACAAGAAGTGAACAATAATGGATCTACTTATTAGCAGATGAGAAGGTCCTCCTCCTACCAGCATCTCCAGAAAGCAAAGCTGACTGGTCACCAGCTCTGGTAACAGCAGTTCTGAGGATGGGCACACAAAACCAGGGGCCACATTCAACGTGGAAGTAAAACAGTGAGGCTCCACCAGCCACAAGATACAGCAACTCACCTTGAAGATCAACCCCAAAAATCAAGCAGCCTTTGCATCACATTACACAGGCAAGTGTCCCCACGCACCCAGGCTCCACCTCTGCATAAAAGAGAGAAAAATAGTCATTATCTCTTACTGTAACCATATCTTAATCTTTAGTACCAATAGATATTGTTTCTAGCACATTTGACACGCTATGGAAATAATGAATAGTAATTAGAATTAATAGTTGCAAGTACCAGTGCAATTAACAGCAGCAATGTTTAGCATGCCAATTATTTATGAACACGGGAATGCTGCACTGGATCAGCCCAAGGATTTAACTACCCCACTGTTCCACTTTCAACTATTATCAGCAGTGAATGCCCAGAAAAACATATGCGAGAGCAAGTCTGGCATCAAGTGATCCTTCATCCAGTGACAACTCACAGCTCAGCCATTTCCCAAGGCGGACAGACACACAACAAGCTCCATTTCTCTGACCAGAGCTCACCTCTGAACTGTGCAGGGTGGGAACCACAGGAAAGCACCCCAGGGCCAGCTGTGGGACTTGGCAATAAGTAGGGTCCTCTCGTGATACTTCTCACCCAGCAGCAGCCAGAATCACAGAATCACAGAATCACTAAGGTTGGAAAAGACCTATAAGATCATCCAGTCCAACCATCCAC